GAGGTACCCGAAGATTCCTGCTTGCAATGGGACCTTCCCTGAAACCCACTGGGATCCCAAAAAGCCCCCTTGGATCCACAAAACCCCTGGCATCCCTGAAACTCACTGTGATCCCCAAAAATCCCCCATGATCCACAAAACTCACTGAGATCCCCATCCCATCTTATTTCCCACAAAACCAGCGCCTTGGCTGGGAAGATGCCAAGCGAATCCCCCATCCCAGACAATTCCCAGCTTCCAAAGCCCTTCCCAGGCAGTTCCAATGATTGACAGAATCCCAGCCGGGCCTATTTCACGCTTCATATCCCACAAATCCCAAGTACAGGGTGTACTACATCCAATTATCCCACTTGGAAAAAGCCAAGACCGCCCTCCATAAACCCCTTTAAGCAAATCCATCCCGCTGTGCTGATCTGGAATCTTTTCCCACCACATGGCTTCCAACGCTGGATCCGAAAATAAACACCTTGTAAAAGCTCTCTGTAAAGGCCGGAATAATGAAGGGAAAGCCGGGTGGAGCATTCCGGCCCCAGGAATTTTTTGATCTTGCCATGTGCTGTTTGAACTCCGGCTTGGTTCCTGTGGCCGTAAAAATCCCGGCTGGAAAGGCAGGCGCAGGAAGGTGGAATTTCAATCAAGGGTTGGGAGCGACTGTGGGGAATTGGGAGCTGCTCAAAACCACCTGTGCCCAACTGGGCCAGGAGGGAAGGAGTTTTCCAGTGATTCTCCTTTTTTGTTCCATGCTGGAGCTCCCTGGAGTGTGGCCAAGTGGATTAGGAATCATGGAATTATGAAATAATTTGGGTGGGAAGGGAGCTGAAAGCTTAGCCAGTTCCATCCAGGGACACCTCCCACTATCCCAAGTGGATCCAAGCCCCAGTGTCCAACCTGGCCTTGGGAACTGCCAGGGATCCAGGGGCAGCCACAGCAAATCTGGGAATTCCAGCCCAGCCAGGAATTCCTTGCCAAGATCCCAGCCCAATCTCCCCTTTCCCAGTGGGAGCCATTCCCTGGCTCCTGTCCCTCCATCCCTTGTCCCCAGTCCCTCTCCAGCTCTCCTGGAGCTCCTGCAGGGACTCTGAGCATTCCCTGGAATTTTTCCCTTCCAATTCCAGCAATCCCAGCTCTCCCAGCCTTTCCCACAGCAGAGCTGCTCCATCACTCTGATCATCCTGATCCTTCCTCTGGATTTGCTCCAAGAGCTCCAGGTCCTTCCCATGCTGGAATTCCTGTAGATGGAGACTCCATGGGTCATCCCAACTCGGGCTGCAAGTCAAATACTCTCTCCAAAAAAAACAAGGATGCCCCTGGATAAGTGACTGTCCATGATATTTTTGTTTGATGTGAACACCTGGGAGTCTGGAAAACAGAGAAAAACCCAGGAAAACACAGGTGCCACTCTTTTCCCTGCTTTTCTGAACCTTCCAACCACTTCAAGATGGTTTTCCATAACTTTCCTGGCTGGATTAATGTTAACAAGATTTTCCTTCTCTTTCTGGTAGAGGATTTTCCCAAGTCCAAATTTTAAAATATTTCTGTGGAAGAGAAATATCCCCGTCTTTAGGACAGCTCTTTGGAATACATGGAAATGCTTTTTTAATGCTCTTCTCCTCATTCCCTTGGAATTTCCTTCTTTGTTCCCGCTTTTTTTTTGGTGCCATCTTTCTCTTCCAGCCCTGGAAAATTCAAACCATGTTGGCTGCATGGGAAGAGCACATTCCCAGGTTTTTGAGTCCTGCAGGAAAACAGTTTCTGGGATGGAAAATGAGAAAATCATGGAATGATTTAGGATGGAAAAGCCTTCTAAGATCACCAGCTCTGCCAAGGCCACCACTGACCACGTCCCCAGGTGCCAGCCACATCCAGAGGGATTTTAAATCATTCCAGGGATGGACATTCCATTGTTTCCCTGGACAGTGTCTGCATGGCTGGAAAGCCCTTTCCATGAAGGAATTTTCCCTAAAATCCAGCCTAAACTGGAAGCTTAAACTTTGGATTCCCAGTTAAGCCTGTTGTGGGATGGGTCATGGGACAACCAGGACAATCCAAGGTCACCTGGATGTGGATCCCATTTTCCCAGGCATCCACGCAGGGAAGAGCTCGACTCCCACATCCCGCAGGTGCCGTGGGGTGGAAAATGAGTGGAATTGCTTTTGGAATGTTCAGTTTCCTGTGCCAATTCCAGCAGCAGCTGGATGTGGTTGCCAGATCTGGATCTGGGAAGTTCTTTAGGGTAGGAAAGGATTTGCATGGAATGTCGGAGCAAACAACATCTCCATGGATGTGCTGGGTCTTGTTCTGGGATTCTTATGGACGTGGAGGGGCTGGAGCGTGGCCAGGGAAGGGAATGGAGCTGGGAAGGGGCTGGAGAATTCCTGAGGGGGCTGGGAAAGGGGCTCAGCGGGGAGAAAAGGAAGAGCCAGGGGGACCTTCTGGCTCTCCACAACTTCCTGGAATGTTGGAATGAGGTTGGAGCTGGGATCTGCTCCCAGGGAATAACAGGATAAGAGGCTGGGTTGGGGGAGGGGCAGGGTGGACATCTGCAGGAATTTCCTCATGGAAAGGGTGCTCAGGCCTTGGAAGCACCTTGGAATCCCCATCCCTGGAGGTGTCCAAGGAATTCCTGGATGTGGCACTGAGTGCCAAGGTGGGCATCAGGCACAGCTTGGACTGGATGATCCTGGAGGGATTTTCCAACCTCAGGAATTCTGTGACATCCAAGGGGAGTCTCCTGCATGTCCAGGACTCCCAAATTCCTGCAGGATGCACCTGAAATGTGTCTTTTTGGGACCAGACTTCCTCTCCTTCCCAAAAGTCAGGTTTCCTCCTTTGTATTCTGGAGCACACCCACAGTCCAGGAGAATTGCAGCCTTGTCAACACTTTCCTGGGAATCTGAGCCCATTTTTTCCCTGCTGCTTTATCCACAAAAATCCATAAAATACCCCCGAGCCTCCCCTCACTTGGAAAACAAACCCCCAAACAATAATCCCAGCCTTTTTCCCCGTGGTTTGGACAAGGCCGGGATATAAATTTCGCGCTCTGGGTTGTTTTTATAGGGAATGTTTGGAGCTCGATTTAATCATGGAAGCGAATTTCACGCCGCCTTGAAAGGGACCCATAAACTTCTCTCGGCATCAAATTCCCCCTTCCCAATTCCCTGTTCCTTTCCCGCCTTTCCAGCGGAGCTCTGGGTGTCCCCAGCTGGACAGGGCTTGGAGCTGGGAGGTTTTGTCTCCAGCCAAGTGATGTTTTATGGTGTTGTTCCATAAAAAAAAAAGGGGGGGAATTTGGAGAAATGGAGCATTCAATTCCCGCCTGGAAAGGGTCAAGCCTCACCTGAGTTATCCCTGGAATGTTGTTCTGAGGTATTGGGATGTAGAGGGTGCAGAGCTAAGGTTTTGTTCCCTTTTTCCTTGGATATTGCAGTGGGGAGGAGGGAAGGTGGAATCCCAAAGTCTGCCGGGTTTACCAGCAGTGCCATGGAATCGTGGAATGGTTTGGAATGGGAAGGATCTGAAAGCCCATCCAGGGACACCTCCCACCATCCCAGGTGGATCCAAGCCCCATCAAACCTGGCCTTGGACACTTCCAGGAATGGGACAACCACGGCTTCTCTGGGAATTCCATTCCAGCTCCTCCCCACCCTCACAGCCTGGAATTCCTTCCCAAGATCCCATCCAACCTTTCCTTCAGCTTCATTATCCCAAGGACATGGATCCACTTGGGATAGGTGGGACATGATCCTAAGTGTGAGGTTTTCCTCAAGTTTGGCTCCTTGTGGATGGGATGGGGCAATGAGAAATTCCAATGAATCCTTGGGAAGTTGCATCAGCCCAGAAGAGAGTGTGGGATGCACCTGGAGCATGGACATATCCATGGATTGTGGGAATGATGGGATGAACCTCTGAGCCAGGAATTCACTGGGAAGAAGAGGCACCTGGAGGACTTGGAGCTTGTGGAGATTTCCTTTCCAGGGAATATTCCAGCTGGGAAATTAGATGGTCTTGAAGGTCCCTTCTAGCCCGAACTGGTCCGGAATTCCATATATTTCCCTATTTTCCAAGCCAAGCTTGGGAACCTGGATTTCTCCCAGAAGGGACAATCCAAAGGATCTAGTGATGGATCTTCTGCCACCTTGGAATTTTCTTGCCCCTCCTGAGGTCATGCCAGCTTTGTTATTGACGGATCCATGGCTCTTGGATCCCTATGGATCCCTTCTTTCCCCAGTTTCTGGGAAAGGGAGGAATCAACATCAACTCTTCCCCTTTTTTTAGCAGTTTTAATTTAAAATGGCTGGAAAAGCTGAGAAAAATCCCCCTGGATAAACATCCATCCCAACCCACTGCATCCAGCAGAGGGGAGAGAGGGAGTTTTCCATGGACTTCCTTTGAGATTTCTAGATTATCCAGTATCTCAAATGCATCCATAAAATGCTCCAATGCAAAATTCCTGGCACATTTTCCCCAAACCGGGCAGGGAATGGAGGGAAAATGAAACAGAACCATCCAGGGGGATCTCTTAAAATGAATCTGACGGGATTGGAGTGCCCACAGACTCCCAGCTGGAATATTTGTGTTCCTATGGAATGTGACACGTTTTTCCTCCCTTTTTATAATTTAATATTGGATGAAATAATGAATCCGAGTCTTGGGGTGAATTTATGGAGCGAGGGATGAATAACGCTGGGTTTCCTGGTTTTAATTAAATCCCGTCATTTCTGACGCTTCCAGGAGGAATTACTACCGGGACACCCTTGGAGGGGTGTGAGGAATCCCGCTGGGATTTTCCTGCTTTTTGCTGGAGCCAGGAATAACAATCCCAACAATCCCTCGGCTTTGGGTGGGATTTTGTCTTTCTCCTTTATCTCAATATTTCTTTTTGGACATCAAGAGGAATTTTTTTAAAGGGAAAGGATGGTCAAGCTTAGGAAGTGTCCAGGGAGATTTGGAGTCCCCATCCCTGGAGGTGTCCAAGGAATTCCTGGAGCTGAGGTGGGGATTTGGCACAGCTTGGACTCATTGATCCCAAAAGGCTTTTCCAACCTCAGGGATTCTGGGGTTCTTAATCCTATCTCCCAGATATCCCAATAGTGGTGTTAGATCCCTGTTGGAAAAAATTTCCTGGTTTCACACATGGAAATAGTGATGTGGATGCCGCTTCCCAGGTAATGGATATTCCTTTCTCTGGGGTGCAGAACTCATGGATAACTTGGGAATGTTCCCCTGGAGAAGGGGAAAATTCCAGGGAATCCTCAGAGTCCCTGGAGGGGCTCCAGGAGAGCTGGAGAGGGACTGGGGACAAGGCATGGAGGGACAGGAGCCAGGGAATGGCTCCCACTGGGAAAGGGGAGATTGGGTTGGGATCTTGGCAAGGAATTGCTGGCTGGGCTGGAATTCCCAGATTTGCTGTGGCTGCCCCTGGATCCCTGGCAGTGCCCAAGGCCAGGTTGGACACTGGGGTTGGATCCACCAGTGTGATATCAGCAGATTCCTGGGATACCATGGAATCTTCCTTTCCACATCCATGTTCCATTAATAAATTCAGGAGCTGTGGGTGGCCTGAAGGCGGAACTGGCATTTGATGGTCTCTGATTTTCCCACTGCCTGTGACAGACCTGAGAGCAGATTAAAGCCGTGGTGGATCTGGAAGGGAAGGGATCCTTGGGAATTCCCTGCTGGAAGCGCTGATTTAGGTGCCAATCCCATGTTTTTTCACGAATTAAGAGGAAGGTGAAGTTTGGTAGCGCCAGCACTCCATGCTCATTGTTGTCTTCACCTTGGAGACTCATCTTCATTGGAATTGTGGGAATTTCTGTCTCTCCTAAGAATCCTATTTGGGATCCCATTTGGATCCTATTTGGGATCCCATGAAATTTAGAGCCATTTCCTAAATTTCATTAAATTAAATTCTTTAAATAAATTAATTACATTAATTTAAATCATGAAATTAAGGCATAAACTGCTGCTGACCCCTTCCAGAAGCATCTTGGGTTTTCCACTGATTATCCTTATCCAAGAGTTTTCCAGAACCTGTGCTCCTGCAGATCCACAGCAGGACACCCCAGGAATTCCAGGATTTCCAGAGCCAGGCCCTGCCCAATTCTCCCGATTAATCTTTAATTTTCCCATGTTTTTTTTTCATGGTGGGATTTTAGGAACACTTCTGGAGCTTGGACAAGACGGAAAACAAGATCCCACCCCAGCTGATCCTCCAGATCTGGGACAACGACAAGTTCTCCTTCGATGACTATTTGGGTAAGTTACGAATTTTGGGATCCATCCCAAAAAAAGAGGAAACATCACCAGCACAAGTTGTCCAGACTAGCTGTGCCTGCTCCTGGATCCCTGGAAATGTCCAAGGCCAGGCTGGATGGGGCTTGGAGCCACCTGGGACAGTGGAAGTTGAGAGTTTGGATTGGGATGGTTGGGGTGGCCCAAACTCCATGGGATCAAGGAACATTCCATGTTTTAAGGATTTTTCCCACTGAGATGTCTCACCTGGAATGTTCTCCCCTGCAGGATCCATCCAGATGGATCTCAACAGGATGCCCAAGCCTGCCAAGACGGCGGAAAAGTGTTCCTTGGATCTTGTGGATGATTCCCTGTCCTCCGGCCGCTCCGTGTCCCTCTTCGAGCAGAAAACCGTCAAGGGCTGGTGGCCCTGCTTGGCCGAGCAGAACCAGCAGAAGATCCTGGCGGTAAAGTGACCTCTCCATGTTTTTCCTTGGATCCTTCACTCCAATTCCCATCCCCGGAAGTGTTCAAGGCTTTAAATTCCTTCCCAATCCAAACCATTCCAGAATTCCCTGAAATTTTCATTCAATTCAAGCCAGGGCAGGCAATTCCATTTCCAGGTGGAGGTTTTGTGGATCCAGCCAGATCCACTGTGGTTGGCTGGAGGTTTTCCGGCGCCGTGCAGAGGAATGATCGGTTTTGTGGAATGTGGACCCTGGTTTTTGGAATGTGCCACCAAATTTTATTTTATATCACAACTATTCCCAACAATCTTGTGTCCTAAACACCAGGAAAAAATTCCAGCTGTCCCAGGGATCATTTTAAAGGTGTCTGGGCTCCTGTTCCAGGTTTTGGTGACTGTTCCATGCAGGTGAGGGAATCCAGGCATGGAATTCTGTGATTCAACCAAAAAACCCTGAGCTGGTTCCCAGGAAATTGGGAATCAGGGAATTGGGAAAGACTGGTTGTGGAACTCTGTGATGATGGGTCACAGCTTGGACTTGATCCCAGAGGTTTTTCCAGCCTCAGCGATCCTGGGATTCCGTGGTTGCCCAAATTTGGGTGTCATTGGGATCCGGAATTTCCCAGAATATCTCCAGTGACAGCTGGAGGATCTTGGAATCCTGAGATCCCCATGGTCATTGTTGGGAATGGTTTGGCTCTGCTCAAATTACATTTTCTCTTCCCAATCCCTATTTTCCATCCCATGTTCATTCCTCACTTTCCCCCCTGTTTTTGGGGATAATAAATAAGTTTTTGTTTAACTCATCCAGGGCAAGCTGGAGATGACTTTGGAAATTGTGGCAGAGCAGGAGCACGAGGAGCGTCCAGCCGGGATGGGACGGGATGAGCCCAACATGAACCCCAGACTGGAGGATCCCAAGTAAGAACATCCCAAATGGAAAAGCAGCCACCAGGGCATGGAATTCTTGAGGACCAAATGGGAATTCTGTGTTTCCAGCTCCGGGGAACTGGGCTGAACTGGGTTTGCACCTGGGAAGGATCCACTGTGAACTGGGGGGAGATGGGAGGGAGGTCTGGAGAACAAGTTCTGTGGAATTGGGAAGTTGATCTGGAGCACCAGTCCAATGGGATTTGGGACACTGGTCTGGACCGCAAATCCATTGGGATTTGGAAGCTGGTCTGGATCACCAGTTCAGTGGGATTGGGAGGCCGGTCTGGACCACGTATCCAGTGGGATTGGGAGGCTGGTCTGGACCGTGAATCCACTGGGATTTGGAAGGTGGTCTGGAGCACCAGTCCAGTGGGATTGGGAGGCTGATCTGGACCATGAATCCAGGGGGATTGGGAGGTCAGTCTGGACCACCAGGGAAGACACTGGTGGGATGTATCCAGGAAGATGGAAGACCTGAGACAGTCCAGAGGGATTGGGAGGTTAGTCTGGAGCATGAATCCAGTGGGATTGGGAGTCTGGTCTGGATCACCAATCCAGATTTGGGGGACTGATCTGGATCACCAGTCGGGTAGGATTGGATGACTGGTCTGGGTCACCAAAGAGAACATTCATGGGATGTATCCAGAAAGATGACAGACCTGAGAGCATTAGGATTGGGAAGCTGCTCTGGACCATGAATCCATTGGGATTGGGAGGGTGGTCTGGACCACCAAGGAGGACACTGGTGGGATGTACCAGGAAGATGGAAGAGCTGAGGCAGTCCAGGGGGATTTGGAGTCTGGCCTGGACCATGAATCCAAGGGATTGGGAGGCTGATCTGGGTCACCAATCCAGTGAGATTTGGGAGACTGATCTGGACCATGAATCCATTGGGATTGAGAGATTGGTCTAGATCACCAAGGAGGATGTTGGTGGGATGTACGCAGAGGGATGAGGAGCTGACACATTCCAGTGGGATTGGGAAGCTGGCCTGGATCACCAGTCCAGTGGGATTGGGAGGCTGGTGTGGACCATGAGTCCATTGGGACTGGGAGTCTGGTCTGGACCACCAATCCAGCAGGGTTTGGGAGACTGGTCTGGAACCCACCAGTCAAACTGGCCTGGATCACCATTCCAGTGGGATTGGGAAGCTGGTCTGGATTGGCAGTTCAGTGGGATTGGGAAGCTGGTCTGGATCACCAATCCAGTGGGATTTGGGAGACAGGTGTGGACCACCAAGAACATTCATGGGATGTATCCAGAAAGATGATAGACCTGAGAGCAGTGGGATTCTGGGCCGTGAATCCATTTGGATTTGAGAGACTGGTCAGGACCACCAAGGTGGACATGGATGGGACATCCCTGGAGGGATGAGGGCTGGCACATTCCAGTGGGATGGGAAGCTGGTCTGGATCACCAATCCTGTGGGATTTTGAAGCTGGTCTGGGACCACCAGGGCAGGTGGAACTGGGGATCCAGGAGGATGAAATTCCGAGGTGACCCGTCCTTCCCTTGGCTCCAGGCGTCCGGAGACCTCCTTCCTGTGGTTCACGTCCCCGTACAAGACCCTGAAGTTCATCCTGTGGCGCCGCTACAAGTGGGTGCTGATCCTGGCCATCCTCCTCTTCATCCTGCTGCTTTTCCTGGGAATCTTCGTCTATGCCTTCCCGGTACGGAGTGGCAGGGATTGGCCGAGGTCTGAGGGGTGGTGGAATCAGGGGGATGGAAAATTCCGTGCTGAGGAACACAATGGGTTAAAAAGTGACTTTTTTTGGATTTGGGATCCTCATGGGGAAAATATGGAGGAGTTGGAGCATGGCCAGGGATGGGAATGGAGTTGGGAAGGGGCTGGAGCACCAGGAAAAGCTGAGGGGAAGGGTCTCATCCTGGAGAAAAGCGGATCAGGGGGAACTTCTGGCTCTCCACAATTCCCCAAAAGTTTGGAGCGAGGTGGGATTTGGGATCTGCTCCCAGGGAACAACAGGACAAGAGGGAACAGCCTCAAGTTGTTCCAAGGGAATTTTAGGTTGGATTTTAAGGAAAATCCCTCATGGACAGTAGTGTCTAGCCCTGGAGCAGTGGTGGAGTCCCCATCCATGGAATTATTCCAAAAACATCCGAATGTGGCGTTTGAGGACATGGATAATGACGAACAAGGGCTGTGGCTCTTTTCCAACCTCAACAATTCCATGATATCAGGAATGGTGGAGATCCCAAAAAAAAACATGGGAAGGCCATTCCTGGTATGTCCTCAGCAACACCAAGTACTGGCACTGGTGTGCCAAGATGCCAAGGTTTTCTGGGATGCAGAGGGAAAAAAATCTGGGATAGCTTTGCCTGCCCTGGTTGCCTTTGAGGAAATTCCGTGGAGCTGCTGGCTGGATTTTTCCTTGGACTAAATGAGGATGGGGCAGGGATGGAGGAGCCTCTTCCTGCTGGAAAACTCTGCATTCCAAAAAATCCTGGCATAGCTTTGGGAATGCTCCAGGACCCCTTTCCCAAGGGACAGAAGAGGTGATGTCCCGGATTTTGTGGGATCATGGAAAAAGGAGCTGTAGGGATACAGGGCAAAGGGTAGGATGGTGGATCCATGAGATTTGCGGGAATCCCAGAGGATGGGAAGGAGCAGTGGGATGCAGAGGAGAGGAGGAGGTTCCAGCAAATCAAAGGAAACTGGGAATGCTTCCCACCAGTTGGACACTGGGATGGTGCTGGAGGGAGGGGCCAAATTTCTTCCAAGGGTTTGAAGAGGTGGGAATTTCTCTTAAAAATTTTGGGAAGAGCAACCAAAATCCAGGAATGACTCCTGGTGCTTGTTAAATTCTTTCAATGATTCCCTTTTTTTTTCCCAATCATTCCCTTATTTTTTCCAGTGATTCACTAATTTTTCCAGTGATTCCCTTATTTTTCCAGTGATTCTCTCCTTTTTCCAATAATTTCCTTATTTTTCCAAGGATTCCCTAATTTTTCCAATCATTCCCTTATTTTTCCAAGGATTCCCTCATTTTTTTCCAAGAATTCCCTCATTTTTTCCAATGATTCCCTTATTTTTCCAATGATTCCCTATTTTTTCCAATTATTTCCTTGTTTTTCCAGTGACTCCCTCATTTTTCTAATAATTCCCTTAGTTTTCCTATGATTCCCTTATT